AATCTGCCCTCAATCTCCTTCCCACCAGTGCTGTCCAACATCAAAGCGCAGTCGCTGTGAGTGGATGTGACAAGTGAAAATAACTTGTCAGGCTGTCCCCATATATTATGATACTCAGCTAATGTTGCTAGCAATTAGGTCACAGGCAATACCTGAACATACTTGTCTTCAGAAGAAGACTAAATCGTCCTAAAATTTCCCTAATCTTCACAAGTCATGGTGACCCCCTTTTTAAAAGACTGAAAGATTGGAAATAAGCAAGATTCCCAAGATCTGCTGTTGTTTCTAGTCTAATATAAGACTGCAGTGAAATCCAGAAAAAAAATGACACACCTTTCTATGACAAATCCTACCTGTCACAAAGTAGCACAAAAGAACAATCCGGGGAAGATGTTTGCTGAGTGCTGGGCTTGCAGCCCTTAGACATACATATGGGTGTGTAAGACACTAACTGAATCACTGCAAAAAAAATCCTCTAACTCCTGAAGTTTTAAATTTTTAACCAGGTTGAAATTGTTTGTTCTGGGGAGATTATAGACTCTTGCTAATAACTGTTTAGTGCTATTTTGCGTCATAGTAATGTTTTGGTTTTATCTGAATCAGGGCTGTTCCTAGGAGCTCCAGTTCCGGGCCAGTGCCTCTTACGGACAAACACAGAACAAAACCAAAGCTCCTGAGCCAAACAGCTGCCTTTTAACCAGCAGCGGTGGACAAGGTGGCCATTGTGTTTTGCTGTTCAGACTCTGTTTATGCTAATTTGCAGCTTATTTGGGACTGCTCAGAAGCCCTGACACTGCAGGGAGAGGTGGGGCAGGAGAGCAAGGACTATGGAAAGGATTAACTCCCTTCCCTTGGGCATTTCAGGAAGCACATAAAATGCTGGTATTTTTGGCTCTCGATGTATCTGTCCAGTTTCTCTAAGTAAGTTTGGAGTAAATTGTGCCGTGTGGCCCATTAAAAGGTGACTTAGATAGAGTAGAGCCAGGCTTTTGTCATCAGTCATTCCCCAGCGAGGTCCGGAGCTGGAGGAAGCAGTCCAGCTTCGCTTCTGCGTGCCTGTGAGCTATGCAGCCCTCCCGCTACATCGTGCTCCTGTCGTAGTTGTTATAACCTAGAGCTATTCATGGCAGCCCTGGGGCTGCCTTAGAGAGAGGTGGGGCAAGCAGGGGTCCCACCGGGGCTGGCATTCATAACATTCAAGCATGTTTTAAAGACATCTTTGCCATTTTTGTTTTTTAGAGACCATACGGAGGAATCTGCCCTGTCCTTCTCCTGAGGACCGCAGGTATGAAGTCGTAACCCCCAGTTCCCCAACAGTGCTCGAATTCATGGCCTACGTTCCTACCGCTGGGTGGGTCATAAATCCTCGTGAGCTGCCGATAGACAAAGCAGTCATTCATCTTCCTCGTGAGGTGGCTCCGGGCTGGGCTCGGGGGACTTCCCTGCCAGCTCACGGATCCCCGCGACCTTGACTTGCTTCTCGTGGACCACCAGGCAGTGGTGAGCACCAAGACTCGCCCTTTGAGTGACTTCGCTCTTGACCGAGAGTTTTTTTTCAATGCACCTATTGGCATGGCTGGCTCTGGCAGGCAGGGCCAGGTGAGGCTGGGAGAGCATACGTCCTGCTCCGGGAGAGCGGGTGTGATTGAGCAATGCTTTTCCCAACCCACACCTACAACAAGGCACCGTCTGTGCTCACGGCTTTTCACTTGACCATGCCACCATGGCTCGTCCTGTCCCTTCCCTGCCGCCACTGCCTCTGCGTTATTCCCTGGGAAATCACTGCGGGTCTCCGAGAGGAAACAGGAGCGGAAACCGGCTCTTTCCTAGCTCTGCCTTGTCCTGTATCACACCATTACCCTCAGATCCGTGGACAGAAATCTGGGTCAGCTTCAAACATGTGCCCCGTTTCCTCAGGTCGTCATCAGGTCCCACAATTTGCAGGTCCCACTGCAAATGTGCTTTATGGTCTCTGTTTGTGCTGCTGCCCGGCACCAAGACCGCAACATGCAGAAGCACATATGCCCGGCCTCGGCGTCGGAGCAGGTTCCTCACCCAAGTCACTCGTGTGGATTAAACTAAAGCAGAGACCGTAAATCCATTTCTATCTGGAAAGCCCGTAAAAGTGCTCTCAAAAGCGCTGGGTGCGGGGCTAGGGCGGCTCTTGCGGCGCTTAGTGCACGTTGAACCGCCGAGGCGGAGAGCTTGATCGATGCCAGAAGTACCCTGGGGGAGTCTTTTAAATATGTGATCTAAGGCCAGCTTAGACCTCATGTGTGTTCAGCATTTCCATTAAGGAAAGTAGGTTTTGACAAATGATGCCTAGTGGAAGATCTTCCCCTTTAACAGCAAACGGAAAGCAGTCCTTCCCTTTCTGCCGTTGTCCAAATTTTGGGGGGTTTGGGGATGCCGTGAGTCGCGTAACTGGTCTCCTGGTGCTCATCACGCAGGGGACGTGTCCCGAGGGGGTCTCTGGGAGAACCTCGCGTGCCCCTCGCCCGCCTCCGGTGCCTCCCTGCCGGGGGGCTCGCTGTGATCGCTCTCGTCGGAGTTGCTCACGCGGGGACCTTCTATTTTGGTGGGTTTGAGGTAGCGCGTGAAGGCGGCTGCTGGCTCCTTCCCCCCCTCGAGCCGGGCTGCGGGGATTTCCCACCCCTGGCGGGGAGGGAGGTGCCATCCAAAGCTGAGTGCATTCGGAAATTTTTGAGAGGACTGAGAGAAAAAGTGGCAATAAGGGGGAAGGGGTAGAAGAGCTGGGAAGGCAAACGCTCTTGCGTGCTTGCAAAGAGCTGCGCGACCCTCGGCGCTCGGGAGGGGAAGGCACCGATGCCCTGCGCCCGGCCCCTCGTGCGTGCCTAAATCCCAGCCTCTCCGGCACCCCCCAGCTCGTGTATGCACTCTCCATCCCTCGAGCACTTTTATATAGATCTATAAATGAAAAAATATATATATGTGTGTGTATGCATGTACAAAAAAAAATCTGTCTGTGTGGGTCAGCAGGGCGCCCCGGGGACGGGGATGCGGCTCTGCCTCCCCGGGGGCCGGCCCGGCCTTTGGCCCAGGTGTGTTTGCAGGTTCGCTCCGCCTCGCCGGCGCTGGGAAGGGCACCGGAGCGC